AAAACATAGGCCTCACGCTTCACACAACTCCAGTCCGCTTTCCTGTTGGCCTGCTCCAAGCGCTTGAGGAGCAATGCATAAGCAAAGTTTGGGGCAGAAGTGATAGTGGCTTGATATCTCTCAACCATATCAGTCCACAGTAGTGGATTGAGAATGAAATCCAAGGGAGATGCCATCACAAGGGGATTACCAGAAAAGATAGCTCCCATAAAACAGTCACAAGACCCATGTCTGTCCAAATAATAGTAGTGGGGGTTGAGGAACAGAAGCAATGCCAACAAAATGGTATCTGTGGCTGGAACTTCCTTACCGTGATATTGGGGGACCCACAGGACTTCCAAAGAGTTTGGTTCCGAGCATTGAGTCAAAGAAACTCCAGCCTTGCATGTCTCCGCTAGGTTGTGGTGACTGATCATGACTCCTTTGGGACTTCCCGTACTGCCTGAGGTGTACTGGATAAAACAGATATCATTTGGTTCCCCCATGTACGTCTCATAAGCGTTTGGCGTTTTTGAATTGCTCTTTTTGATTGAGAGTTTGTCGGTTCCAATCCACTTGACACCAGTTTTGTAGAGGACACTGGCTGCTGTCATGGCAGTCGCAAATGTGTTTGTGGAGAGAGCAAATTTGGCTCCGGCATCCTCTGCAAATCTGCGGAATTTGGGCATTTCTGTTTTGAGCTGATTTGGATTGGGTGGATAGATAGAGCAAGGGATGACTCCAATCTTCATGGCTCCAAACATTCCTGCCAAGAACTCGAGGCCAAAGGGATATGCCACCATGACACGGTCACCCCTTTTGCATCCCAGTTTTAGGAGACGAGCTGCCACAGCATTGGATTCATCCTCCAACTGCTGGAATGTCATCTTGTTTTGTTCTTGACACTTGATATCTACCCAGGTTAGGACATCCTTATCAGGAATCTCCGCTGCATGATGGTTGAGGGCTTCCAATATAGTTGAGAAGATCTTCATTGTTGAATTCACAGAGTTTGCTTTTGTTTGCCCTCTGATCGGTTGTGTGTGGATAAATGTTGTTATCTTGCTTTTTGTGCTCCACGCCGCTGTTTTGTTCTTGGCGGAAATTTCGAGGCTGGCGAAGGGCGTGTGCCCCAATGAGTAAAATGCACTCTCACTTGCATTTCTCTTAATATATACTGGTGCTTGCACCGTTCCGTGTCCGGTGAAGACCAGCATGACTGCTTTGAAATAGAGGAGATGTGGTAAACAAAATAAAATTTTGGGTTACTCCAGAGTACATATGTTTGACGTTTTGACATATTTACCCTAACTACGGATCCAAAGCAGTCTTCGGTGGCCTCAATCTTGCAAAATTCTTGTAATTTGAACCTGACTGTGCACTGGCTGCGAAGCTGCCTTGGAAGTTTGGAAAAGGCCTTGGCGGTTGGTGAGTGATGAGGGGCTGGTCGTTCGCACGAGTGGTTTCACAGCTGGGAGAGGAGGGTTGCGAGGAACAGCAGGGACACTTCTTCTCGAGTCGAGTCAGAGTCTAGTAGTCTGCATACCGGTGCATGTGTCGGTAAGCAGTTCTAGTAGTCTACATGTACCCACCACCTACCGGTATGCATAGTAATCACGAAAGAAGTAGATTGAATAGTTGCTTGTGTCTCGGCAGGGCAGCTGGGGACCGCTCTGATGTCCCTGACCCTTCATCAGCAGCCGCCCTCTCTGCAGTACAGATAGATTAGATTGGTTAGTACCGGTATCTTGCTAACTAGCTAATTTTCAACTCTGTTGCGGTATCAACGAGCTATGTTTGTGTTGTTGTCGTCATAGCGGTAGCCTCGGTGACGTATTGTTTGTTTGATCGCTTCGTTGATTTGCGGTAGATTTTGCTGTTACAGCCATACTTTCGGCCCTTTCACTCTTGAGTTCGACGCCTTGCACTCTCTCAGGCTTGCTAGCTAGCGATCGTTCCTGTTTGATTTTGTGTGTGGTCCCGCAGCCGATGTTGTTGCCAGCATTGTGCTACGGTAGTGGTGGTAGCGGTCGTTCGGTCGATCGATCGCTCCGTGGCTGCTGCTGTTCTTCTCGCAAAATCACTCGAATTCACTGCCTTGCCGATCTGTATTCTTCGCCTGAATGGTTCCGTAGCCTCGCGATATCTCCTTTGTTGAACTTGTACGGGTTGCCGATGATGTTTGTTAGTGGAAGCAGTAGCGGAGCGGTTCGTACGGTAGTGGTTGCCGTTCGCAACTCGCTCGTTCCGTGGCATTTGGCTTTTGTTGGGCGGCCATTACACTCCAAACTCACATATAAGAAATGGCTGCACTGGGCCTTTCTTACCGTGCAGCACCATTTTTGACCCTCAGTTCCTTTCTAACAAAACAAGCCAATTTCAGCATTGAAGACTTTCTTCTTATGCTTCTAGGTCAAGCAGGGCAGTACTTAGATACACCCTATGAACCTGGGCCTTTTGATTCAACTTGCTCAGGACTCATAAATTGGGTTGGATCAAATAGAGATGGTGATCACTTTGTCTGCCATGAGGCAGAAAATTTTGCAGATGTAAGCACAAGTTTGAAGCATTTTCATGGTGTCAGACTAGTAGTATTTCTTCCGCTTTGAGGTCTTAATACTGGGAAGCTTTCTTACAAGTCTGTGATATTTCAGCATCAAGATTTTCTTAATATTTTCTAGAATCTCAGGGCTCGCTTTCTTATAGTGGAGTTTCTTATATTCGAGTCTGGAGTGTATGGATCCGCTCACGACATTCGGATAACAGCACAACAACGAAATGGGCTGCCACGCTGCCACCGACCGAACACGCGGGTGGTGGCAATGGACAATGGACAACCATCACTAGATCTACGGTACGGTGCTAGCTCAGATCGGCCCCAGCATCACCCAGACAACCTTTTCAACACAAAACCAAGATGTTTTTGTTCGTCTACCTTCTACGATTTTTGCTGGAGTCGAGTCAGTCACCTCGAAAGCCTGACAAAAGTTTCTCGGCGCATTCACACTTCACACCAAGGTGAGTTATTAGTTTTATTAAATCCTTGTATAAATTCCAGTGATTTAAGTGTTTGCACAAAGCACCAGATCGTTAATTATTGGATCGTGCCAGCTTCTTCTGCGTACCGGTTCTTTCTTAAAGAACAAAGTTCTCCCTTCTCAAGGAAACCTCTGGATCGGTAAATCGTTTGCACTCACATTTTCAAGGGATTTACATTGTCGAGTCATTGAAATCAGTCGAGTCATTGAAATCCAAGCCATCTGCACTAGTTACCGATAGCAACTCGAAGCGTCAGTTCTAGATGGGTTAATTGTTGTAGTTGTAGTTCTTGTGATCTTGGGAGTATCGATCACATGGTTGGCTCAGTACGTCCTTCCACCATTCAATCCGTTTTCAACAAGGTTTGCCGCGATGCCTACTAGCATCGAATCAAATGGTTGGCTCAGTACGTCCTTCCACCATGGAATCCGTTTTCAACAAGGTTTGCCGCAATGCCTCCAACGTCTCCGGGTTCGGATCCGCCCACATACCACGTTGAGCAGCTTCAAGCAACCGATCAGAGATCCCTTTCAATGCCCAAGGATTGGACTTCTCAAAGAACTCCTGGGTGCCTTCATTGAGAGCATAAGTTTGAGCCATCTGCTCGTACATATGGTCGCTGACCACGCCAGCGGTGGCGTCAAAACCAAACATGTAGTCTACCGTAGCAGCCATTTCGGAAGCTCCCTTGTAGCCATGTCGACTGATGCTTTCCAGCCATTTGGGGTTGATGACCCGAGTGCGGTAGACGCGGAGAGATTCCTCTTTAATATCTCGCACTTTGGGATTGGCTGGATTGGCGCTGTCGCCAAAGTATCCCTTTGGTCGTTTGCCTGATAACGCCTTGATGGTAGCAATCATTCCTCCATGGAATTGAAAATAATCGTCGCTGTCAAAAATGTCATGTTCACGGTCGTCTTGATTGTGGATCGCTACTTCCACAGAGGTCAGCCGATGAGTGAATTGGTGGCGGGCGTCGATCCCTTCGGGTTCGTCCTGACTGTACGCGTAGCCGCCCCAGTTGACGTAGCATTCGGCAAAGTCAGATTCATCCTTCCAGTTCTGAGCCTCGATTAGATCCAATATCCCGATTCCATAAGCCCCTGGTGGACAACCATAGACGCGGTATCGGGCTGAGGCTTCATCCATGGCTTCAGTGGCAATATCTTCCAGGTAGTGTTTCCGGATGAAGTTCTGATCGATTGGCTCATCCGCGTTAATAGCCAGGTTCACAGCCTCGTCGAGAAGAGTAATCAGATGGGGGAATGCATCTCGAAAGAAGCCACTAATGCGTATAGTGACATCAATGCGAGGGTGTCCCAGCTCATCAAGTGGGATCAGTTCAACTCCAGTCACACGATGGTTCTCTCGTTGCCAGATCGGTCGCACCCCAAGCAACGCGAATATTTCCGCGATATCGTCGCCATGGGTTCGCATCGCCGCCGTACCCCAGACACTAATTGCCACGTGTTCTGGGTAGGCCTTAGTCTCTTTGAGAAAGCGGGACAACACCTCGTTGGCCAAGCCTTGGCCCACATCCCATGCAGCCATACTCGGGAGTGCGCGGGGATCTACCTGTTGGGACGATAGGACGAAGTTGGTCATCTGTGAGCGAGGGAAGGGAATATGATACAAAAGGAAGACGTGAAACGAAATTTACCGCATAGAAATTCCTGCCTGCGACAGCACAAAAGCAAATGAAGTTAGAATCAACCAAAACAATACAAAACGCATACACGCGCAGAGGTAACAGTGGTTCGTACCTGTTGGGAGAACATGCGCATTGCCGCGGGTTGGAGAACCGCTAGGTCCAGCAGGGACAAATTCACCTCTGAGTGCCGTGAGGAGATACTTTATTTCTTGAGTGGTATCCCGCAGGGAGGGCACGAGACTTCCGCAAACAAATTCCAGCACTCGACTGATTTCAGAGGAGTCGGCAGTCTCACTGTTTCCAGGGAAGGTTTGACTGATGGAATGTGGGATTGCCTGAGCATCGAAGTGCTTTTGATCTAAGATTGTCAATAAATGAATCGTCAATTCATCGATGGTCTGCACAACATCGCCCGATGTGGCAAGGGGGCGACCTGCGAGCAGCGTCAGCATAGGTGGAACATCCCTGATACGGGCCCCTTGGTGCTTTTCCAATTCGGGTAAGCTGAGTCCAAACATCCTCGCGATCGACTGAGGTAACGAAGGGATGTCTAAATTGGGCAGCCGTGTCAAAGCTTGTAGGGTATCCACCATCTGATCGCCTTGTGGAACCTGCCCCAAAATATGAAGTCCGTCTCGAATTTGAGCCCCTGCTAACTCACACAAATAGCCATCCATGTGCTCCATAAGATGCGCTACATCTTTACCGTCCATCTTCGCCAGCGCATCAGGCGTGCCATGGTCGTTCACGCTTCCGTCCCAGTCATGGCCGTGGCCGTGGTCATGCTCATGGGCATGGTTGTCGTGTGGCTCTTGTTTGTGGGCGTGAATGTGTTCAAGGTGGTATTGCTGCCCATCCTCATTAGCATGCCCATGATGGTCATGATGGTTATGATCAGATACTTCCTTGTGAGCATGTCCATGGTCGTGATGCTTGTGATCAGATTCCTCCTTGAGAGCATGCCCATGGTCATGATGGTTATGATCGGATGCCTCCTTGTGATCATGTCCGTGGTTGTGGTGGTTGCGATCAGGTACTTCCTTGTGATCATGACCATGGTCGTGGTGGTTGTGATCAGATTCCTCTTTGTGAGCATGCCCATGGTCATGATGACTGTGATGTTCATGATGGTTGTGGCTAGTTTCTTCCTTGTGAGCGTGTCCATGGTCATGATGGTTATGATCGGATACCTCCTTGTGATCATGTCCATGGTCGTGGTGGTTGTGATCAGATTCCGTATGGGCATGCTCGTGGCCATGATTGTGTGATTCGGTGTCGTGGTCGTGATCACCGTCGTGATCATGGTTAAGCAAGAACTCCAAGTCTTCTCCCAAGTTGACCTGTTGAATCAGATCCCAGATTTGTCGTTGAATCAATGGCAGTTTGGACGGGTCGAGCATTTCGACCTGATAGTACTCATCCACCAGCTGCATCAACTGAGCTAGCTCGCCATACCCATCGGCAGTCGTCATGGGCGGGGTCAAATGGTCAATAATGAGTGCGTGGGCGCGCCGTTTCGCTTGTGTTCCTTCGCCGGGATCATTGAGAATGAACGGGTAGATCAATGGCATATCATCGAGAAAGGTATCCGGGTAACAATCGTGCGACAGACCAACTCCTTTGCCAGGCAACCACTCCAGCGTGCCATGTTTTCCCATGTGCACGATCGCATCTGCCTTCCATTCATCTCGCAACCAGCGATAGAGGGCGTAGTAATTGTGTGGCGGCGGCAAGTCAGGAGTGTGATAGATCTTATCGGGGTCCATACCATATCCTCGTGGCGGCTGCAATGCGACGAATACATTGCCGAACTCGAGACCTGCCAAGGAAATGGAATCCTGGTGAACATAAGCTTCACCCGGAGGCTGACCCCACTGCTGTTCCATGTGCTCCTTCTGTTTGCGTGGCAAACGCTGGTACATCTTTTGATAAACTGAGGAGGGAACCCGTCCGGCTGCATGCGCCAACTGATGTTCTGTCAGATAGATTTCGTCGTAGGAGCACCGATCTATCAGATTTTGAAACAAGGTATCACCATCGGGCGGTAGATCGTGGCCAAGTTGATATCCAGCAGCTTGCATGGCCTCGAACAGCTTCATGAGAGACGCTGGGGTGTCCAGTCCAACGGCATCGCCAATACGTTGCGCCTTTCCACTGGTATTGGTCAACAAAAATGCCACCCGTTTGTCTCGATTGTCCTTGTGCCGCAAATTCTTGGCAATTTTCGTGGCTTGTTTGGCAACTGCTTCGACTCGATCCTGTAGTGCTTCATAATACATAACGGTGTTGGATTCGTCTTGCGGTGCCATAAAGGAGATTGGCACTGTGATAATGCGTCCATCGAATTCTGGAATGACGACATTCATGGCAGTATCGAGCGGATTGAGCCCCCTTGTGGATTGTTCCCAACTAGCGCGAGTTCCAACACTGTTAGTGGCTTGTAGGACTGGCACATTGAGTGCTTGAATGGCAGCTGTGGCCCAGCTCCCCAAGGTGGGTCCGTCTGGATTAACTTCGCCCATGGCAAATGCCATGGTACTGATGAGTACATCCACTTTGCATTTTCCGTCGTGTAGCAAATATGCCAGGGCTTTGGGGAATCGCTCTACCGCTTGACCATTAACATTGTCATGTGGCTCACATTCTCGTAGTGATTCTGTAAAGAGCCCCACGGCGTTGACTCCCGAGGCCTCCAATTCATCGAGCAAGGCATCCACAAAGGCAGTATTCCCACTTAGAAAATGACAGCGATAAAACAATACAGCCACTGTAGGAAGAGAATTTTCTTTTAAAAGTATCCGTTGTTTGACATCCTCATTGCTGTCATGATTGCTGTTCGTGTATACATACGAAGGATGATAAAGGCCGTGATTGGGCCTTGGCGTGGGCGCATTGTATCCAAATGGTTGTGCGCATGCCATCATCAAATGGTCGGCCAAGAAACGAAACATGTGTCCCATGTTGTGGGCACAGCCATCGGCATTAAAGTATGCCACGACATGGTTTTGCATGTCCATCGAGACGGTGCACATGGCGGTCAGATCGGGTTCCATACTCCCCGGCACGCCACTGACGACGATCAATTCCGTACGTTGTGCATAAATGGATTTCTTGACCACAGACTCCAACAAGTACGCCATGCCAGGAACGCCTCTTCCTAGTAACCGCACCACAATGGCGACTGTACCTGTACATGATGTGTCCGTGTTGCCGATGCCTAGTAGCCGGTCCAACAAAGCCTTCATATCCTCATCCTTCGAGAGGGCGCAAAGGTTTCCCGTTTGGATTGTGGGAAAGTCCAGGGGAAGCAGGTGGCGGGTCGCATTTAAAGTCAGCGCGTCCGTGTCTTTGTGAGACAGCAGCAGGAACTTATTATTGACGAGAGATGGATGGTTTTGTGCTGCTGAGGTTGAGCTCGTCATCATTGTGGTTGTTATTGTTGTGTTGTGTTGTGTTGTGTTGTGGCCTCCTTCTTGTCTTTCTGTGGCACTGCAGCACGATTTTAAGATTGATAAATTTGTTGGCATCTTCAAAATCGATACTTTTACAAGCACTGGTACGTACGTACCGTACTGTACCGTACGTACATGTAAAATAGCGGTATGGTACTTATGGCAATTGCTGTGCTCCTCTTCTAGCACGTTCTTCGCATTCGCGCACGTTCTTCCCATCCGTGCATCGCTTTCTCGTACAGCTGTAGATTTTAAAGATCGGCATTGGCCGAGACCAAATCATTCATTATCATTCATTCATCAAGATCAACAGATCAACAGCCAATAGTCCACCTCCTCCGCAATAATAGTACTAGTACAGTACTACAACAATAACGTACAACCACAATGGCACACCTCGAGCAACCATCATCGTCATGCACAACAGAAGATACATGTAACAACAACAGTGATGATGACCACAACCATAAAATATTTCCGTTCGCAGCCATTGTCGGCCAAGAGGATCTCAAGCTGTGTTTGATTCTATGCGCCATTGACCCAACCATTGGAGGCGTGCTGATTCGTGGGGATAAGGGAACTGCCAAGAGCACTGCTGCTCGCGGTCTGGCTCGTCTGTTGCCACCCATTCAAGTGCGACTGCGATCTACTACCGATGCGTTGGATCCCTACAATCGAGCGCCAATTCATCATGCGCATGATACGAGCAGCAGCAACAGCAGCAAAGACATGTACAAGTTGTGCCCAACTCCTTTTGTGGATTTACCAATCGGAGCAACCGAAGACAGAGTCTTGGGATCCCTCAATGTCGCCGCGACACTCAAGGCCGGTGGAGAACATGTCTTTTCCCCGGGACTCTTGGCGGCGGCCAATCGAGGCATCCTGTACATTGATGAAGTCAACCTGCTGCCGCCTCATTTAGTCGACGTACTGTTGGATGCAGCAGCCATGGGAGTCAATACCATTCAACGGGAAGGCATTACTCTAAAACATGACGCGAAATTCATGTTGATTGGGACCATGAACCCGGAAGAGGGCGATTTAAGACCTCAACTCTTGGATCGCTTTGGCCTCATGGTGGATGTTCAGGCTCCGCGAGATCCAAGGCAACGATGTGAGGTGGTCCGACAACGGATCACTTTTGAACGGGATCCTACACTCTTTCAACAAGCATGGCAGCAGTCTTCCACATTACTCACGCAACAGGTGGTTGCTGCCCAAGAACGACTTACAAAGGTCATTTTGAAAGATGAATTGCTGCTTCTCATTAGCACCATCTGCACCGAAATGCACGTGGACAGTCTCAGAGCTGACATTACGCTTTACAAGACGGCAACCGCATTAGCAGCTTGGGAAGGCAGACTGCAAGTTGCTCCCGCCGATATTAAACAAGCGGCCCAATGGGTATTGCCGCACCGCAAACGCAAAAAACCCTTCGAGTCGCCGCAATCCAAGCAACAAACAGAGGAAATGTTGGAAGAGTTGATCAATAATCACAACAACAACGACAATAGTCCACCCGACAAGAGCAATATGGATCAACAAGAACAAGAACAACAGCAACCACAACCGCAAGAACAAAATGATAATCGCGAAGGTACAGGAGACGGATCATCCGAGTCAGCGCCGTCATCGTCTTCTAACAACCAGGACAAGAACACGGATAACGATGACAGGAATGGTGAAGGCAACCAGATGGAGACATTTAAGGCTAGCAAACCCGAACAAATCAAAAGAATCAAACTAGCCAAGAAACAACAAGGTCAACCAGGAACAGGTCGGCGCAATACCGTAACAAACTCGCAACAGAACAAGCAGGGGCACTACGTCCGGTCCGTACCAACCGACAAGCCACAAGATATTGCCCTCGATGCAACTCTCAGAGCAGCTGCCGTCAATGGTCTCGATCCGGATACCGGCGCGACGATTATCAAACCCGAAAATTGGAGACGAAAAGTACGCCATGCCACCACGGATACCCTCATTCTGTTCGTGGTGGATGCATCGGGGTCCATGTCTGCCCGACAGCGCATGGAAACAGTCAAGGGGGCAGTCTGGCTCTTCTCACGGATGCATATCAACAGCGAGACTCTGTGGTGTCATGCCTTTCGGGGATAAGGCCGAAGTGCTTTTGGAACCCACACGGAGTGTGGAACTGGCGGAACAACAATTGAAGCGTCTCCCCACGGGTGGGCGAACACCTCTGGCACATGCGTTGGTGGTCGCCCATGAGGCAGTCACCGTCTTGGCCGACATCAAACTGAACAACAGCCAATGCTACTCATCGTATTAAGTGATGGCAAGGCAAATGTGCCGCTACCCGATACCAGCGGCGATGCATGGGCGCAAACAGAACAGGCCGCGGCACAACTCGCCGACCTTGCCATTCCTACACTGTTTCTGGATACCGAAACAGGAATGGTTCGGGTCGGCCGCGGCAAAGAGCTGGCTCAGCGCCTCAACGCGGACTATCTACTGCTGGATGACCTAAGCGCGGATGGGTTGGTTCATACGATTCGCGAGGTGGTTGGTTAGTAAGGCTACTAGCGATTCATTAGACATACTTGTATTGACTTTGTATGCACACAAAACAACACAGCCAGCCAAATCAAGGTTCAAAGGGTTGCCCACTAACACTTTAGCCCTCAAGGATTCCTGGGAATACCTTACTCCCCCACTCAACATCCACAGAATCTTTGTTGTCCACTTCTGAGGAATACTTTCCATGGACCATTTTCAGGCCCAGAGACTGCTGTCCAGCCACAGCGAAGCATCCAGGATGAATCAG